CATTCATCACCCTTGTATTCAGCGGAGACCCAAGGCACATTGACTATTGCAGCCAGGAGGTAGCCAGGGCCATCGATTAGCACCACGAAGCCACTGGGTGCTATTTGACGTAGGCCAAATATTTGGCAGTTTGGGGCCAGGAATATTAGGAATGATTGAATTGCTCCCAGCAAAGAGAAGGCATCTGACTAAGGCGTCCTGTAGTGGAAGTGAGCCATGTGTGGTCATCCCATATTTTAACACATCCTCCTGGTACTGATGGATATTATTTCCGACCCTAGGAAGGACTGCATGAAAGAAGAGGATCTGGATATCTCCAAAGGATGGCATTTATTTCATTTTTTGAAGCTGTCCCCATGTCTCTTTGGGTCCACAATGGAATTACCAGGCCGTTGGTATATGTCTGGATGAGTGGTTATACAAAATGCCATAGACTTTTCTTATTTCCCCCATATGTAGCATTGTGATTTGTTCCAGTCATCACCCCAAAGTGGTGAGACCCACATGACGATCCTGCTGGGCTGGAAGTGGGAGGTAGCCCTCATACCCAGTGTGTCACGTTCTATGCCCTGAGCACATTGCTGAGCCCAAATGAGAAGGGAATTTGATTCTTCTTTAGTGTGGCAGATTAGGGACAACAAGCCCATCAGAAGACAAAGGTAAAATATAGTTAAACGGGAGAGATGGCAACTGAACTCTTTATGACCCAATGTATAGGGCGTCTTTGTAAGCAGCAGCAGATGAGCCTGTGTCCTCTAGAAGCACAAGTGAGCAGACATTTAATTATAATAAAGATTCCAATTAGGAGAAGAATCCCCAGGGTGCCTGTAGCCCTCTGGTGGAAGGTAGGGCGGGGATAGTGAGGCATGAACTGAAATGTGTTTGAACAGGTATTTCAGGTCTCCCATGATGGCGGTCTCTCAAGGGGCTAGTTGGAAAAGCTTCCATGCATCCTATAAAGATATAAATAATAGGGCCGGGGATTTATCTCAGTGGTGCCAGCACCTGACTCGAAAGCACAAGGTCCTCCCAATGGGGCGGGGGGAGCTCAAGGTCCTGAGTTCGATCCCTGGTACCAAAAAAAAAAGGATATAAATAATAATAAAAACTAGTAGGTATTTAAACCCTCAGCAAGGAGACAACTGGGGGTAAATCAGCTCACCAACCCTCTGACTTGTACTGGCTATGTCTGTGCAGGAGCCACTGAAGGAGGAGGCTTAGATCCTCGGAGATTATTAAGAGCATAAAGCATAAGCTTGTGAGATTTGGTTGATAATCTTGTACAGCCCTTTGTAATGATAGAATCGTTATCAGCATTGCCAGAAAAGGCAACCATTGTCAATATTGTGGGGTTGCTAGGTGAACCAAAGATAATTTGAGTCGTCCATCTTTGTGAATAAGTCTCAACCCAGTAGAAGGATTGGACATCCAGGCATTACCAAGAAGGCATGGATAAGGAGAAAATTATGCCACGAACAACACAGAGGAAGAATAAAGCATTTGGTCATGAGAGTCCCATTGATGCACAGTAGTTGGGAGCGATTACCTCGAATAGGAGATAAGAAGAGAACAAGAGGCCCCACCACCCAGAAGGAAGTTGATGGTCCTACCTGTGACATCCAGTGTCACCCAAGGCCTCTCCCACTGATGGTGATGATCAGGCTGGAGGCTGACTAGAGCCTAGGGCCTCCTCATTCCGGGAACAACAGTTGGAGCGGAAGTCCCAGTGTCCCATCTTGTCGCAGTTAGAGTAAGGTGACTTAGAAAGACCCCAACATTAGGTCAGTCCCTCTTCAGTGGCCCATCTACCCTCTTACTCTTACCAGTTAGCTTCTTTTCCCCGGGGGAGGAGCCAGCAGACAATGGAATGCAGCAAGAAGCTTCACATACTTTTTGTCCTCTTGTCCTTATTTAGTCTTGGCTTCCTTTTTAGCTTCCCTTCTCCATATTTAGTTATACAAAACAGAATTAGCAGTGTTTAGAAGGTCACTGTTTGGAGTTTCATTTCCCAGAGATATCTTTTGCAGTTTCCTAATATCTGAAGCTGGCTGGGCAAGAAATATGTCTTTAAAGAGTACTCATCACTCAAAAGAGTGAGTCAGGCATGATATGCTTTCGCATTGCCTCCTTAAGTCATTACTCAGTCAGGTTTTCATTTGGCCCTGATGAGTGGTAGCTGGTTCAACGTGACTTACCAATTTGACTTTCCTGGCCTCTTACCCTTCTAGAAAGCAAATGACTAAATGTTTCCAGTTCCACATGTCATTCAAGTCATTATAGATCCCATTTAGGACTGTGGACAGGGGCAGCTTCAGGCCCCATCTGGTACCTATAATCTAAAGTGTGTAAATCACCAGGTAACATCCTGCCCCTGCAGTTACTTGGGACCTTTCTGAATCTCTGAATCTGTCCCAAAGTAATATTGCCATCCTTTCACCCATAACTATGAGCAAGATGTTGGAAAGCTTCTATATATTTCTCAGGATCATCTCAAAGGCTGACAAAGTCCTGTTTGATTTGCTTTAGGTCCCACAGAGAGAAAGGTTGTTGAATCGTGGAACCTCATAAGACATTGACGTCTCTGACAACCCAGTTAGGGGAACACTGGCTTGGTTGACCTCCTGTGACCCTTTAGATCTGAAATCCTAGGGTCGTACAGGAGGATATGGTTTCTGTCTTCAGAGACTTTTATTCTATCTGTGTACTTGAACTGAACCAGAATCCATTTTGGTCTGGCCTGATCCTTCACTGGACTTCTGTGGGTGCCTGGTGTAGAGTAGCTGTCATCTACCTTTTCCTGATGGGGACACACAGGCCTAACCAAGGACTTGTCTAAGGTGGCAGAGAAGTGGCAGCAGAGCTACGACTATGTGTCATTCTTCTGGCCGCAGGCTCAGAATCTTTCTCTTACACTGCCACCCTGGGCCTTGCCAGGGTAGGAGAGTTAGGGGGTCAGAGACACCAGTCCATACTGACCTCAGCCAATAGGCCTCCCTCTCCCCTTCCTGCCCTCATTCATGCTAGCTGCCCTGCTGCATTTCAAGAGAGAGAGGGAAGGAGGGTAGGAAGGTGGACCTCATCCCTTACTGATCATCTGTGCTGAGAAGGAGGTCCCAGCCTACTCTGGCCACCATGGGGCTGCCTGCTCATTGTATCTTCCCAGATCGAGGAGCCCCGTGAGAGCAAGGACTGTGGTCTCCATCACTGCTGACTCCCAGGTCCTGGCCCACACCTTGGATCTTGGGCAGGGCTTCCCAAGGGAGGGCGTGACCCGCAGGAGCAAAGCACACTGGCAAAGATGCATCTTGGGAAGGAGGATTGATATTTGGCTAAAGAGAGCTTTCTTTTGCATGTAGTGATGGAATAACACTGATGGGTGTGTTAGGGACAAGGTGTATCATGTGGATTAATGCTCAGTATGCTTTGACCAGAAATTCCACTTCTGAGAGTTTAATGAGTCCAAGAGACTAA